CTATCTATCTATCTATCTATCTATCTATCTATCTATCTATCTATCTATCTATCTATCTATCTATCTATCTATCTATCTATCTATCTATCTATCATTATATTTATATTACCACAGTAGGATGATTTTTAGTCTCATGAACAACTAATTGTTATTTACTAGCTAATCTTAAATGCCTGTTCAGCACAGAAATGAAGCCCAACAATCATGTTTTACAGTCCCGTGGTCTCAGCCTCAGATACTGAACTAATCAAAGTGATGTCATGACGAAAATGAATGACTAACAAAACATTTGTTTCTCCTTCATTTCTGTCAAACAAAGCTGTATGTAACGTTACTCGCGGTTAGTATCATGGTTGCTAGGCAACCTGAACAGTGCGACAAAGGCTAGACCGTCCCATTTCACGAGCCTCTCACTTCCGCACTTCTCGTACTTATACCTACGCACCGTACGTAGTACGCGTAGTGCGCGTACTTCAAGCGTGCAGACCCTAAATTGGGACACAGCCACTGTGTCAGATCAATGCAGTGAAGCACACACACTGTTTAGTAAAGTCATGTTGTGGAGCTGTTTCACTGATCAATGACTGAGTCTGAAGGAGGTTTTCTGACTTCTGGAACAAACCTGGAAGTTTCTCTTCAGCTCTCTGTATCAGCTGTTTGTAACTCTCAACTCTTTCAGCTTCTGGAACAAGTTTGTGTGAGCCACAGTCAAGGAGCCACCAGAGGACACCTGCTGACCATCAGCATTATGGGTAGTGTAGGAGGAGACACTCACCTGACATGAAATAGTGCCGGAAATAAAATAAAAGTCCTCCAGAAACCACAAGAAGAACCAGGAGAACCAGGAGAGCTTTGGCCCAGGATGGAAACCGTTCTGTGGAGAAACATTAAAAACCCCCAATAATGTTACCTTTTAACTTTATCCACAGCATTGACCTCTGACATTTATCTACATCTCTGACCTTTGACCTGCAGCTCTACTTTCTGTCTCAGGATGTCATTGTCCCTGTAGATGGTGCAGATGTATCCTCCACTGTCTCTCTCTGTGGGGTATTTCAGGGTCAGACTGAGGTCTCCAGTTCTCAGCAGGTCTTTGTTCATCTTTGTGCGACCACAGTAAAGGTCGTCCTGGTTCTTAAGGTGATCACTCCTGTTTGAATACACATGGGCCACCATGTGTTCTTGCTCAGAGCGAGTCCACTCCACTGTGGTGTCCTCAGGCAGGTCAGATTTTGTTTTGCAGGGCAGGATGACAGATTCTGAGCCTTCCTCCACCTTCACCTTCACCTTCTGGTCTGAGAGGAAAATAAACCACAACATCAGCTGTAGAAGCAGCAGCAGTGACATTGATGGTAACTGAAGCACAGCTGAGTATCTCCAGTCCTGACCTCTGACTGTTCTGTAACAGTAATAATATATAATAATGTTCTCTCGCACTTTTTGTTTTAATCGTAACTAAAGATGGGAAATAATAACAATTTAGTGATTTTGATTTCATTATCGGTATAACTGTCATGGTCCTGATCTATCATTATTATTATTATTATTATTATTATTATTATTATTATTATTATTATTGATCTTGTGTTCTAGCTGTGGGATGATTTGTTTTTTGAGATTGTCTAGTTCTGGGATTCTCGGTTGGTGCTCCCTTTGTTGGTTCCTTGTGTGCTCATTACTGGCCCGTCTGTGAACGTCTCAGTGAAAACTGTCTGCGTTACTCTCAGTGTAACTACCATATATTCTCCCTGCTCATCACCACCTTCATGTTACCTTTGCTCTCCATCCATTCCTGTTTAGGTTTTCTGTTTAGTCTTAGTTTCTCCCGGTTCAGGTAGTCTTTAGTTCTGTTTTGCCATCCTCGCCTTGTGCTTTGTTATTTGCAATAAACCTCCCTCACATCTGCTGCCGCAGCTATGACAGTCACTTGTCGTTTTGACTCATTATTGATTCTCATTGGGTTCGCTTTGAGTGTCACCACACAGCATAACAAAGACTTTATATTCAGACATTACACAGTGACCCTGGCTGTCAGTGCTGTCTTTACTCTAAAAGCTTTCATCCTGGCAGAGGTGTATGATAAGCGATTCTCTACAAGATAGACATAGATGTCACCAAACTGGAGCTCTGGGAGAGACGTAGCCATTGTCAGGGATTTAAATAAAGCTGCAGAACATGATCACTATTCCACACATTTTGTAGCTCCTGCTCATATCTTTGTTTTTCCTCCATGGATAGATAATCCGAATAATCTTGGTTGGAGACACGTGAAAAAAACCCACTTTAGTCCTGCAGTACTACTGACTTACAACCAGTCCATTATTGGTAAATAAAGAAAAATTATAGTATTGATCATTTTGATGTTTCCACTGTTTTTCACAGGTTAGCTGTGAGCTACATGTTGCTCCTGGTTTCTTCAGGTGAGTCACAACAATTTAAGAAATGTTCCCTTGACCCTCTGACCTTTGTCTACTGTACTTTTGACCTGTAATTACAGCAGGTGTTTGAGTTTATTACTGACCTTTGACGTGCAGCTGTATATCTCCCAGTCTCCATTTTCCTCTCCCATCACTGATGGAGCAGGTGTAGTTGCCACTGTCAGTCTTTGTTGGTTTTCTCAGAGTGAGGCTGAAGTCTGAAGTGTCCAGAGCCTCAGACCTCATTGATGTGCGCCCTCTGTAACGCTGGTTTTGTCCTGTAAGATCATCTCTTCCTTCTTGTCGTACATGGACAGATTTGGGATGAAGATCAGAGCGAGTCCACATCACTGTGGGCTCTTCAGGTATGTAACCTGAGAACAGACAGGGCAGCAGGACAGATCTTTCCCCTTCATATACCTCCACAACCACAGCCAGGGCATGCTGGGAAACTATAAGAACAAACAAACAGAAACACAAATTAACTGCATGCTGCGTGTTTGTCTCAGAGTCCACATTTAGCAGCAGGACACAGAGACCAGTTTTATAGTCAGACGTTCAAATTTAATGCATTTATTTATTAAATCTGAACATTTAGTCTGTGAAGACCTGGAAGATTACTTTTATCTCTCTTTCACTCGCATCACTCTGTCTGGGTGGAGCTCATCATGGGCTCCTGCCTTTGGTCCATGCACCTGCAGATAATTACTTACCTGTGGTTCATCACTCTGTTTGCTGGCCACTTCATAAGGCAGTGGCTCTGAATTACTCATCGCTGGACTCTGCAAACTTCTGTGTGCCTTTGTGCATCTTCTTGGAGTGACTTCTCATCTCTGTACATAGAATGCCTGGACCTGTCTTGTAATACTGAATCTCGGAACCCTGAGCGTGAGTGTTTGCAGTTTGGCATGGCATGTGCAAGTGTGAAGATCCCGTTTTCCCTAACCTCCCCGTGGAACCTTTCCCCCACTTGTGTATTGAGCACCTGGCGTTGTAAATAAAGAACTGTTTAACTGGGATTCTCTGTTTGCACTTGAGCCTGTCCCCCCCTGCCGTGACATAACCTCCCCAAATATAGACATCTTCTTTGTCACTAATACTTGGCTCCAACTAGGCAACTGTTGCCCATCTTAAAACTTTCCCAGAGGTGGAAAGTAACGAAGGAAGAGCACTTTGGTACTGTACTTAAGTAGAACTTTCAGGTACTTGTACTTTACTTGAGTATTTATTTTTCTGACTGCTTTTTACTTTTACTTCCTACATTCTCAAACAAATGTGTGTGCTTTCTACTCCATTTTCAAAACAGACATAATAATAATAATGGACTGCATTTATATAGCACTTTGTGAGACCCTCAAAGCGCTTTACAATTCCACTATTCAGTCACTCTCGCATTCATACACTGGTGGAGGCAGCTACAGTTGTAGCCACAGCTGCCCTGGGGCAGATTGACAGAAGCGAGGCTGCCATATCGCACCATCGGCCCCTCTGGTTACAAGATGAGCTTCCCAACCCCCTGAACCACGGTCCCCCATAACAATTACATTGTTACTTTTGCTTCAATGCATTTGAGGGGAGTTATTATTTCATCACTGCGAGCCTTCAAACATCAAACCCATTTAATTTTAAACAGAAATAAATGACAGGAAATCCTGCTCATGTAAGTGTCAGGTAATTTCAATTGCAGCATTTCTATCAGCTTAGCAAACATCAGCAAACACACAAAGTGTTTCCACCTGTCAATGGAAAATTGTATTTAGTAGTCAGTATAATCTTTTAGTGATATAAGTTTGCTTATGGTAGGATGCTGTTTGTAGTTATTTGTATTAGGAAATGT